TCAGCACCATCAGCCCCTACGCTGAAAACATGAAGACTGGGGCCAGCCCCATAGCCTAGTGCTTAGGGGAGCCAGGTCCCACATGGCCAACTGTAGTTCGAATTCTGCCCCAGTGCCTTAAAACAACAAGCTGGGCACGTGTGTGCCTGCTCAAAGTTCTGAAAAGAAGGAGAAATGGCGACAGGACTGTGGTGTGACCCTACCCCGTTGTGGGGTACTTTCTCTCTCTCTCTCTCTCTCTCTCTCTTTGCTTCTCTCTGGTTAGTGCCTGTACCTCCTGGCAACTGGGGAAAAAAAATTAAGGTTAAACAGAGCTAAAGAGCTTGCTTTGCTGTAGGACTTGGCAGGTCCTCTAAAATGCTATTGTAGGCTGTAGATCTCCAACCTATCAACTGTTGTATTTCTTCTCTTTCTTTTCTCTTTTTTTAGGGATCTGGCACTGCCTGGAGAAAGACGGAGAGGGAAAATGAGAAGTCATGTGCCAGGAAGGATGGCCACACTGCAATTTCTTCTGCAACACTCTCTTCTCAGGATAATCTGGGCATGCATGCACACACACTTAGTGTGTTCTTCAAGCTGCCGGGTCTCGGACTCAAACCATGATGTTGATGGGCTCTCAAGCTCAAGTCCCAGGGAACCTCAGAGAATCCTGGGGTTCTGAACTCAAAAGCCCTCCCAGGAAAGGAGACTTGGTTTGGTCTTCCGTGCACTGGGTGTCTTCCCTCGTGTACTCAGATCTTGCTGGTTTGGGTGTGGCCCTCTCGTGGAGAAGAGTGGCTCTCTCGCTCTTTTGGAGGCATGGGTGTCTCCTGTGGGCGCTGTGGGACTCCTCAGGAGGGCAAGCATCCAGTGCCCTAACTGCTACGCCACCTACTGGCTCTCAATGGCTGTCTCTGAGAGCACCTCTGAGATGGGGGAGCTGACTCAGAGGACGTGGGCCGAGACCAGCGCCTGGGACTTGGCATCCAGTCTTTTCTGTGCATGGAGGGAAGGGGCTGAGGCTCCCAGCAGTGGCCCACCCCTCTCATCCCCAAGCTCGCCTCCCGGTTCTCGTAGGCGTTCCTCATGATCTTCCTCCAGATCCGCTCCATCGTCTGGTAGCGCTTGCTTTCCACTGGCAGCTGCCTATTGATGTCCTCAGAGCTGAAGATGGGTTCCAGGTAGAGCCAGGACCGCTGGCAGTTCAGCCACTCCTCCAGCACCTCCTGGGCAGGGGAAGAGACAGACTGTCAGGGCCCAGGGCCCAAGTGAGTCCTCTCCCCCACGACTGTGACCTATCACCCACCAGTGTGCTAGGCAGAGCACCGGGCACAGAGCTGTGTCCGCAGGGAAACTTCTAGATAGAGCTGACAGCCAAGGTACTCCAGGGAGCAAAGAGGCTGCAAGGATGCTTGCCCTCCTGAGGAACCCCACATCCCCCACAGGATGCCCATGCCCCCAAAAGAACAAGAGAGCTGCTTTTCTCCACCAGAGGATCACACCCAAACCAGTAAGATCTGAGTACCAGAGAGAAGACACCCAGTGCACGGAACACCAAACCAAGTCTCCTTTCCTGGGAGGGCTTTTGAGTTCAGGACCCCAGGATTCTCTGAGGTTCCCTGGGACTTGAACTTGAGATCCCCAGAATACTCTCTGAACCATGAGGCCCAGAGTGAGACATCTTCAAAATGAACCACGTTCCCTTCCGTCTCTAATTTCCCCACTCAGGACTTTTCTCTAGTCTTCTGTTAACGCAGACACATTCATCATTCACTCATCTCTTCCTCACAGTCAGCTGGGTCAGGCCTGTTCCACGTCTGTGTGGACACCAGGAGGAACAGAGGGCAGCAGGAGGTGGTCCCTGACCGTGAGAGCCCAGCTGCGACCCTTGAATCCCATGCGATGGCACTGAGAGGCAGACCAAAGGGAACACCTTGTGGGAACAGCCAGCGGGTGGGAATGCAAGGTGAGCTGCTTGGTGCTGGGCCTTACAGCAGACACAAGGTGGGGACAGAACTCCAGGTGGAGAGGACAGTGTGGCCAAAGGAGGGAGGCCTAGCCACAATGCTGACCAACTCAGGTGTCTCTAGGTCACTGGAGTGGGGGACCCAGAAAAGCCCTCCTCACATAACTGGCCATCCCAAGAGGCTGCCAAACAACTCCTAGGAAGGCCCAGGGGAGGGGCTACTGGAATCCACCTTCAGGTCTGGCTCTGGGGCTGTGCTCCGGGGATCTGCAGGCAGCTTCACCCTTTGGCCTCAAGAGCCCAAGACACAGGGACTCGCCAGTGCCCTGGGTCCTCATCCGGAGGTGGTACCAAATGAGCTGGGAACAGGAAGCTCAGGGCAGGGTGGGAAAGGGCGCTGAGGAGCCTCGGGCCTCCTGGAGTCCAGCCTAGAAGGCTCCGGCACTGTAACTGGTCTCCCAAACCCGGCAGCGATTCAGAGGCCTGGCAGCTCTCATGGCCTGCCTCAGACACTTTCCTGGCTCCCTCCATGCCCCTCTCTTAACGACCTCATCCAGCAGTTGGTCCTCAGAAGTAGAGAGCCCCATCCTAGCCACCCTCATCTGCACAGAGGGGCTGCCAGAGGGCCAGAACTGTGCAAACAGGGCAAGGCACTGCCCGTTCCCAGCCCTACCCAGATACCATAAAGTGCCCAAGATGGGGTTCCTCGAGGGTGGGGAGAGAAGGAAGGCCCACCTGGGTCAGCTTCAGTTTGTTTTCCCAGGAGTTGATGCGTTGCTCAAACGGCTTCTTGTAGGGCGAGAAGGACATGCTCTGAGTCATGACGATGTGGTCGTCCAGCAGCTGCGAGGCCTCGTCTGGACTCTTGAGGATATAGGTGTCCGTCTCCTTGTAGGGCAGCACGTTGAACAGGATGACTGACCACTCCTTCTCCATCTTGTCCAGTGCCTGGTTGGGGACAGGTAGACGGGGGGCTGGCCGTCACGCTGTCTGACCAGCACTGGGCAGGGAGGAGCAGGCTGCCTGGCCAGGACCTTTACATGGCCCCACTAGCACATGTTCCCCTTTCTGCCCACCGAGCACCCCGCAGGCCCTTGTATGAATTCAGGGCCGACTCACTCTCACACGTGTGCTACTGTGTACAACGCACCTGTGGGAGTGCGGGTTCCGGTCTCAGCGCCAGCACGTACTGACTGTGTGACCTTGGGCAGTTGCTGAACTGCTCTGAGCCTCAATTTAGTCATCAGTTAAACAGAGATCATTCTATCAGCTCCTCCTTGGGGACTTCGAGAGGGCCAGCTGAGGGTAACAGCAAGAGCGAGCACTGCCGAGCCCTCTGCACATGTTGCTAACTCTACAGAATGCACCTTGTCACCTGGGCGTGACGGCCCAGGCTGGGGCCCATGACGTCCGTCCTCCCAGGTGGCTCTCACCAGAGTATGGGAGGCCAGCAAGGCCTGCGTGGGGCGGGATGGTCTGCTGGCATTGCCCACCTGCTCGATGGCGTACTCCTTGCCAGCCACCTCGGCCACCTTGCTGATGCTCTCGATGTGGTCCTGCAGGTTCATGTCGAGGCAGCGGGCAAAGGTCAGGTTGGCTTTGGGCCTGACGTTGATGTCAATCAAGTTCGACAGCATCTCCCAGTGCCGGTTCCGCATGCCAGGGTTGCGCAGCCCCTGGATCAGCGGGATATATGGCTTGAACTCCTCGATGCGGGCTCGGATGTCTAAGGCCACGTCCTGGCAGGCTGCAGGGCAGAGGGGCATGAGAGGCAGCCAGCACAGGCAGAGAAGGCAAGGACTGACTGGCTTGGCTACCCACCTGGGATGTCCTTGAACTGCTTCACGCACTTGTGCATGGTCTTGAAGGACTCAACCACGTTCTTCTCCAGCTGCTCGGCATCGATGGCTGACAGGGGGTCGTTCATCCAGCTCTCGGACCAGCGCAGCCAGTCGGAGGCTGTGGTCCAGAGGTCCAGGTATGGCTGGAACTCCTTCACCATCCTGGAGAGCTTGTCGTACTGCAGGGCAGAAGGGCAGGCTGGGCTCAGCCCTGGGCACTCTCCCGTCTCTCCTCGCTGTTCTTCCTTGTTCTTGGCGGCCATCTCCAGCTCTACCCCCAGGGCCCAGTCTCTGAACGGTGCACAACACCTGGCTGACCCTTGGGCCTGCTGTCTGGTCCCAGCAGCCCCACTCGACGCTAGGGACTGGGGTTGGCTCATCTCCTCTCTGCAGCCTGCTCAGTCCTGTCCCCCACCTAGCAGCTGGGTTCTGGGTGGCTGCAAGCCCCAAGGGGTTAAGAGGACAGGGTGCCCGCGGGAGGCTTACGTTGGTGATGGGCAAGCCAAAGATGCGCTCGCGGTTGTTGTAGAGCACCGCCAGCTGCTGGCAGTCCTTCAGCTGCTTTTTGACCCGCCGGACCTCGTTGGCAATCTCGTGCGCTCGTGTGATCTCCACATGGGTGGAGAAGCCAGCCACCACCAGCTGTGGGCCAAGGAGCAACGGGTCAGGGGCTCTGTGCCCCACCCATGCCCACACAGCCCTGCACACACCCAGGAAGCCTGAGTGCTGTGGTCATCAGGGCACTGACTCTCCCAGCACTGAGGGGCTTTTGTTTTTTTTTTTTTTTTTTTTTTTTTTTTTTTTTTTTTTTTTTTTTTTTTTTTTTTTTGAGGGAGAGAGACAAAAGATGGGGGGTAAGGAAGAGAGAGCAAATGAGTGGTGATTTTTTGATGGTCTCTCCATGCGGAAGTCCTTCTGCCCCAGCATCCGAGTCAGCTAGGGCTTTAGGTGCACACCATTGGATCTGGTCCGGGATGCGAACCGCGGTCGACTACATGGGAGTCCAGTGACATAGCCATTACGCTAACTGCTGGTCCCCCTAGCACTGAGGGGCTTTTGTTCCCTTGAAGTGAGAAGATGCCTGGTCTACTACTGGCTGACTGAGTGCCCAAAGGAGACATGGCAAGGACAGGTGGAGACGCAACGTCCAGAACACTGCGCCCACTGTCCACTGGGATGCTGAGGTCATTGCAGAACACTGTGCCCACTGTCCACTGGGATGCTGAGGTCATTGCAGAACACTGTGCCCACTGTCCACTGGGATGCTGAGGTCTTTATTTCTCTCTAGGTTTTTCTGGAGCTCACTGCCCGGGCTTCACTTGGGCTTTCGGCTTATCATGCCAGCACGTACTTGTCCACCCACGACTCACATACACGCTGAGAGGCACTCCTGGGGGTGGGAGTGAGGCCAGCCCCGGAGAGCTGGGCCATGTGTCCACAGAGGGGAGCCACCCAGCGTGACACCACAGCCAGCCCACCTGCAGCCCTTCCAGCTTCTCCTGGAAGTTGTTCTGGTCCATGAGCTGGATCTTGCGGAACTTCTCCTCGTCCTCGATGTGCTGCTGCCGCACGATCTCTATCTGCCCCAGGATCTTAGAAGGCCAGTTGCTGGCGGCCCATCTAGCTGGGACAGGGGCAGAGGGTGGGGGAAATGCCACAGCTAAAATGATGGATGGAAAAGCCATCCAGGGGCATCCTGCCAGGCACCCAGTCCAGACACCAAAGCAGCCAGGGCAAAGGGGCACTGGGGCGTCCAGGGACAGTTGGAGGCATGTGGGGCTGGGCAACAGGGAAGTCCTTGCCCGCTGGGGCAGCCACTGTGACCAATGGGGAGGAAAGCCCTGCCCTGCCCTCTGGGAGCCGGAGCCTGTCCACTGGGATGCTGAGGTCATTGCAGAACACTGTGCCCACTGTCCACTGGGATGCTGAGGTCATTGCAGAACACTGTGCCCACTGTCCACTGGGATGCTGAGGTCATTGCAGAACACTGTGCCCACTGTCCACTGGGATGCTGAGGTCATTGCAGAACACTGTGCCCACTGTCCACTGGGATGCTGAGGTCATTGCAGAACACTGTGCCCACTGTCCACTGGGATGCTGAGGTCATTGCAGAACACTGTGCCCACTGTCCACTGGGATGCTGAGGTCATTGCAGAACACTGTGCCCACTGTCCACTGGGATGCTGAGGTCATTGCAGAACACTGTGCCCACTGTCCACTGGGATGCTGAGGTCATTGCAGAACACTGTGCCCACTGTCCACTGGGATGCTGAGGTCATTGCAGAACACTGTGCCCACTGTCCACTGGGATGCTGAGGTCATTGCAGAACACTGTGCCCACTGTCCACTGGGATGCTGAGGTCATTGCAGAACACTGTGCCCACTGTCCACTGGGATGCTGAGGTCATTGCAGAACACTGTGCCCACTGTCCACTGGGATGCTGAGGTCATTGCAGAACACTGTGCCCACTGTCCACTGGGATGCTGAGGTCATTGCAGAACACTGTGCCCACTGTCCACTGGGATGCTGAGGTCATTGCAGAACACTGTGCCCACTGTCCACTGGGATGCTGAGGTCATTGCAGAACACTGTGCCCACTGTCCACTGGGATGCTGAGGTCTTTATTTCTCTCTAGGTTTTTCTGGAGCTCACTGCCCGGGCTTCACTTGGGCTTTCGGCTTATCATGCCAGCACGTACTTGTCCACCCACGACTCACATACACGCTGAGAGGCACTCCTGGGGGTGGGAGTGAGGCCAGCCCCGGAGAGCTGGGCCATGTGTCCACAGAGGGGAGCCACCCAGCGTGACACCACAGCCAGCCCACCTGCAGCCCTTCCAGCTTCTCCTGGAAGTTGTTCTGGTCCATGAGCTGGATCTTGCGGAACTTCTCCTCGTCCTCGATGTGCTGCTGCCGCACGATCTCTATCTGCCCCAGGATCTTAGAAGGCCAGTTGCTGGCGGCCCATCTAGCTGGGACAGGGGCAGAGGGTGGGGGAAATGCCACAGCTAAAATGATGGATGGAAAAGCCATCCAGGGGCATCCTGCCAGGCACCCAGTCCAGACACCAAAGCAGCCAGGGCAAAGGGGCACTGGGGCGTCCAGGGACAGTTGGAGGCATGTGGGGCTGGGCAACAGGGAAGTCCTTGCCCGCTGGGGCAGCCACTGTGACCAATGGGGAGGAAAGCCCTGCCCTGCCCTCTGGGAGCAGCAGCCAGCATCCAGTGGGGAGTAGACGCAGTGTGCCCAGTGCAATGATGGGCAAAGTGACTCAGAGTTCCCTTCCTAAGCCTGGGGACTAGAGGGGCCTCACCTCAGATGAGGCAAAGCGACAGTCTCGAACCTACATTTCCCTGATAAGCAGCCAGGGCCACAAGGCCAGCTTCCTTTGTGTCAGATCTGTTTGCCTGAAAAGGGGGTCTGTGGAATTCAGGGATTCTACTCGTGGCCGGCCTAAGGATGCCGACCTGGGGGAGGCCCTGGGGATCCTGGGCAGGGCCCTGACAGTCGTGAAGGCCCCTCCCCACGTGTGAGCCAGGGCTGCCTAAGGGTTCTCTGTCCTCAAGGCTTCACTGGAAGAGGGCCCCTGAGGCTGTTTCCCACAAGGCTCCTGAGCTGGGTGGGGACAAATGCCAGCACCACATGCCCCTCAAGGGACTGTTCTCCAGGCGGGACTTTCCCTTCTCTAGTGCTCCCAAGGACCCTAAAGGGCTCCGACCACAAGCAGAGACATGAGGTCCAGGTAAACACATGTGCGTCAGGCCATTGAGGGACAGACAGAGGACTGGGGGAGCAGTGGGGTTCCTAGGCCAAGAGACCCCAATTGCTTTCCTTCTGGCTCACCAGCCAGCTGGCCCTGCCCGGACCTGGCTGGTATGTGGACCACGGCCCGTGGCTCTCTGGCAGAGCACGTATGGACCCTTACGAGCCACTGCAGCTTAGCGCACCCTCCCCCACTCCGCCTGGGTGAGGGTCCAGCACCCACTCACTTGTCATTGAAGTCTTCTGAGCTGAGGTTGTAAAAGAATTCATCCATGACCTGGTAGTCATCCATGACCTTCACGATCCGCTCCTGCATGGACAGGGGAGATGAGAATGGCCCACGGCGAATCCACTTCTCTTCCACGTTCCTGGCTCCTGACCTCCCGCCCCCGCCACCCCAGTCCCTTGTGCCCTTGTGCGACCACCTGATTCCAGCCCCGCCAGGCTCCTGGCCCCGACCCCCAGCACCCACGTGCCTGCCTCACCTCCAGCCCCACCAGCTGCTCGGGGATGCCCTTCATCCACTCCCGCAGCTCGGCCAGCTCCTCGATGCTGTTGGGCTTCTCGTAGATCTTGCGGCTGATATTGCGGAACTCCTCGCAGATCTGGCAGTGGGAAGAGGATGCTGGGGAGAGCCACGTCCCCGCCCTTGCCTCCTCGGGGCTGTTCTTACTCCCTGGTCTTCGGGGTCTTCCAACGAGGAGCGGCCATTCCCACCTCACCCTGCAGTGATTCTCAAGGGGGTGCTCCTGGAGGGCCCTCTGGGCTGCTGAGGCCTTGGTTGGGCAAATGTCACCCAGTGCACTTCACCCTCCCGGCCTCCCTGGTCCCACCAGCACTCGGGACTTCTGAAGCCTGCATGTGTACACTGTTGGCTCTCCCAGGGTGCCCTTGAGGGCTCCCCAGGTCTTTACTAGTCTGTGAAGGAGGCAGCAAGCACCCATAAGGGACAACTCCCTGAGACAGGGATTGTGGCAAGTACCCTCAGCCGTGCCCAGGGACAAACTGCTATAGGAGCAGACGGCGTGTGAGGGTGTGTACATGTGTGTATGTGTTGCAGCAGGCACTGCGGCTGGGGAGGGGCGAGTCCTTACACTGTCCACCTCCTTATGCAGGTTCTTGGCCAGGATGTCTAACATGGAGGTAGCCAGGGCTTTGCGCTTCTTGGACAAGCTCTGCTTGACGTTTTCAACGTTGATGTAGAAGGGCCCGATGACGATGCTGCTGGGCAGAGAGTTGTCCAGGATCTCTTTCTCCCGCAGGTGGGTGAGCACCACGTTCCGTACCTCCTCAGAGGTCGGGCACTGCGTCTGGTAGGCCCTGAGGACAGAGGACAGCAGGCACACGTGTGGGGGCAGGTGGTGGTAAGCACGGTGGGTCAGGGCACGCGCCCAGACACGTGAACATGCTCAGATGACACGTGCGTACTTGAGGAAGGAGGCGATGTCGTTGTTGTTCAGCTCCAGGTACTTCCTGTACTCCTTGGCGTAGGCCTGCAGTGGGATCATGGCTTTGTGTATCGCGTTGGCGACAACGGCCCGCAGCTCCTCCACCAGGGGTTCGTGGAGTCCCACCGACTCCAGCAGTGGGTCGCCGCTGATAAAGATGTCCTCCATCACCAGCTGCAGAGCAGGGACAGGAGGGCCAACTGGATGAACCAGGCCAGGGGCGTGGGGTTGGGGGACGGTTAGTGGAGGGGAGAGAAACAGGGCAAGCAGGGCAGGATGTGGCCACGGGCTGAGTGGGTGGCAGCAAGGCCAAGTCCAGAGAGCATGGGGTGGGGCCAGGGCTGTGTAGTGTCACTCAGAGGGCTACAGAGTTGCTGGAAGCCACATGAGGCCCACCAAGGGACAGGGTCTTGTGCCTGGACCCGACACAGCCCAGCACCAAGGAAAGGAACAGAAGGGACAACCAGGTCACAGGTGACTCTCACTGACCAGCAAGGGAGACAACTGGAGACTCGAGTTAGAGGCCTCTGGGCCATGTGCACCTGGTGTGTACAGCGGTGATGACTTGTGGGCTTTTAAGAGAGATTTCTGCTATAGGGCACGTGTGCTCACGGGAGAGACAGACAGAAAGTGAGAAATCACCCTCCAGGAGGGATGGCCACACCGCATCCCTTCTCCAGTCTCCTCTTGAGATTTTAGGCATGTACACACATGAACTCGGTGTGAGTTTTAAACCACTGGGTCTGTGACTCGAACCCCGGTTGACTACATGGGGTTCGAGTCACAGACTACATAACCATAACGCCATTTGCTGGTCCCTCGTGGAGCTTTTGACACTAGTCAATATACTACAGAAGTTGGCCTGAGTCAGCTCTTGAGATGGACAGAGGGGTCAGGAGCCAAGAAGGGTCTGGGACACTCATGGCCATGATAGGAGAAGTCCAGCAGTGCAGGATTCAGACTGGGGTTGGGACAGTTAACAGCCCTGTGACCTTAAACTAGCGAGGAAGCTCTCCAGGTCTGCAGAACGGGGCTGTGAGTGTTTCGGCTTATGATGGGAATTAAATGAGGTGTTCGAGCACTCTGGCCACCCGGTAGGAGACCCAGGATAAACTCTCACTGCACTGATGGCAGTGGTAGCACCCAGGACTTGGGGTCCCATACCAGTGGCTCTGTGTACCTTTTCCAGCTGGGGCACAGCGTGGGTGGCCAGGATGCCCTTGTCAAAGAGGTTGAGCAGAGACATCTCGAACTGCTCCAGTGGGGTGTTGTAGTGCACCCCCGAACTATCCAGCACCAGGTCCATGATGAACAGGGGGTTCTTCCGGGGCCTGGGGGGCAATGCAGGGCTAGCTGGGGGCAGGGCCCAAGGAGGCCAAGAGGCCCAGCCCTCTGCCCTTCCTGAGCATCGTGGCTCTGGAGCTTCTCCTCTCTCCCAGGAACCTCTAGTTAACCAAGAGAAGGCCAGGCCAGTCAGATGGGTTCCTCTTCCCTTGCCATGTGCCCAGAGGGCCTCAGGCACCACAAAAGAGGGAGCCCCCCGTCCCCACCCCCCATCCTGAAGTCATCTGGGAAGGTCGGTCAGGCCTGGGCACTATGGCTGCCACATTCTCCCTCCTCAGGTGCAGAGGTCCACTACACTGCAACGACCCTCAAGCCTGGATCCTCGCAGGCAGACCTCGCTGATGCCTTCTGACCACATTTAGACTAAGTCCAACCCCCAGTCGCAGCCCCAGGAGGCTCTGTGTGATCTGGTCCGGTCTGAACTCTCACTCCGTCCTGACCAGCCGCCTTGCCCTCCTGACTCCAGCCACGCTGGCCAGCCTTTCCTTCCTCGGCAGCCCCAAGTCCTTTCTTCTCCGTCTGTGCTTCTGCAGGTCTTGGTCCGTGCATCCAGCCACTCCCCTGAACTCCAGACTGGAGGTCTTGGCCCAGACCTTCTCCCCGACCCCCTGGCAAGGGCCACCCCAGTGTCTATCACAGCCCAGCCCCACTGGCAATGACTGTGTGTATTTCTCTCTTGCTGTCTCTACACAAGACCAGGCACTGTGTCTCCCTTGTCCCTGGAATCACGCCTACTTCATGGCAAGTGCCCCAAGGGTATTCTCACCTGAGGAACCCGGCAACCGACCAAGCCAGTGCAGGTCCCCAGAGGGAATGTAAGCCAGTGCTGGTGGGACATCGACCGGCCACTGCGGTGGGAGGGGGGGCAGGCTCTCCCTGCCGCCCATGACCCGGCAGCATGGGGTACCCCGGCCCTGGCTCCCTGCTCCCACACCCTGCTCTGTGCTTGCCACTGTGGTGTGGACAGGTGCCTCTGCTCAGTCAGGCCCACCTGTAGGGGCTGTGCATGAGGTTGTCACCCCAGACCATGTCTTCGGGGCAGTCGAGCACACTGCAGCAGGCGTCGTTGATGAACTGCGAGAAGCCGGAGAGCGAGTCCTGCACCAGGAAGCGCAGCGTGTCCTGCAGCATGTACTTGATGAGCTCCATCAGCTTGCGCAGCTTCGACATGAGGTACACCTCCCAGCTGGTCTCGTACAGGTTGTACCAGCCCTTGCTCATGTCACGCAGGCTGCTGCGCATGGCCACCTTCAGCGTGCTGATCCAGCTGTCTTTGAGGAACATCTGCACCTGGGGTGGCCACAGGTGTCACCACACGGCCACCGCAGGGACCTACCACCACAGCCACCGCGCTGAAGGACTCTATGCACCAACCAGCATGTCAGGGCGGCCTCAAGGCACATTGACCATGGAGGGATCTCTTCCCACCCCAACTTACTGCCAAACCCTGCCCACTGACACCTCATGTGGCCCTGGGCCTCCAGCATTGCTGGAGGGTAGGGGGGCCGCAGGAAGGGAGGGAGGAGAGAGGGCCATCAGAAGTAGGGCTTTCCCTCCACCCTTGGAGGGGGACAGAGACAGAAAACGAGATGAGAGACAGGCAGAGTGGGAGAGACACGCACAGAGAGAGGCAGAGAATAAAGTCAATCACACCCAATCAGGTCAACGTGTGGGTACATGGGGTTTCTGGACCCCTTTCCAAAACGAGGTGTCTTCTTCAGAGGCAAAGGCAGGGTTGGGATGGAAAGGGACAGGGAAAGGAGCCTGCCCTGGCTCTCCTTTCCTCTGCAAGACAAGCCATCACCCTCAGCCCCTACCCCAGCCTCCAACAAGGTCTAGGAAGAGGCTGGTTGGCCCTGGGCTTCCCCGGGGGCCCCTGCCCTGTCCTATGAGCTCCAGGGGCCTGCTCCATGCCTGCCCCTGGTGCCCACGATGCCCATGCACCTGGGAGAAGGCCTGCGACTGGATCTGCTCGAACTCTTCCAGGCGGCTGTACTTGGAGAGGCTCGAGTGGAACAGGGACATGGCGGTCACCTTGTTGCACTCAGCCCGCACCTTGCTAAGGGCAATGATGACCTCTGGCCTTGTGAGCAGGGACACAAATGTGAAGTCCTCCTTCTGCTCCCGGAAGGGGTACTTGGGGATGCTCACCAGCCCTGCAGGGGTAGGAGCCAAGGGCCATTTTCAGACCTGCCTGGTACACACCATGGGCCCGGACAGATCTACAGGGTGCTTGATGGAGGGACACAACTTCTGCCCCTCCTGGAGGAGATGCTCACGTCCCCAAGCCCTTCCCCACCGCCTTTCTGAGTGGCCCAAGATCCCACAGCAAGGTGCCCACTCCAGGACAGGTGAAAGGATTCCCTCCAGGCGCCCTGATCACAGCCCCCTTTGAGAAGTAGGTGACGACTTTAGATCCTCTCTCCATCTACTCCCGCCTCCACCCCCTCTCGAGTTGACCCAGAGCACCGAGGAAGGAAGATACCGACACTGGGCTCCTCGGAACGCCCATGGTTCACATCCTGGCCTGCTCCCGGGCACATGGCGGAGGGAAAGCCAGGCCGGGAAATGGAATTAGCAGGATCTCTGAGCTCAAGGCAAGGAGGGCTCTTGGGGACTGCGTCCTGCTCTGAGACTCACTGTGCTGCGAGCCAGTAGAGGAGGACAGGGCCGTGTGTGCCCTCTGGGCCAGATCCCCAGCATCCCTTCCCCTGCTCCTGAGCGACTGTTCCCCGAGCACACACTGACCTCGTCACTCACAAGGCAGTCCGGTAGTCTAGTCAGACTAGCAGTTTTCAAGACAGCCTTCCCTCCCCAGACCCAGACCTCCAGGCAGCTGGGAAAGAGCAGGAGCGCTGGGACAGGGTCGGTGCAGGAAAATGCAGGCGTGGGACCCCTCAGAGCAGGCAGAGGCAGGAGGGACTCTGCGGTCTGTCTTTGTCAAATGGCCCTCACCTCGCTCGGGCACCTTCTCTTCCTCCTTCTTGGGCAGGGTCACGTAGGAGAAGGTGTCAGGCTTGGCGGAGACGATCTGGTCGAAGCTGATCTTGTTCATGCTCCGCTCGTAGTCCAGGCACACTTCTCTGGCCAGCCTGCTCAGGTGCTCCAGAACCCTGCCACAGAGACAGAGACAGAGACAGAGACGGGGGTCAGGGAGCTCCACTCACCCTGTCAACCCATGCTGCAGGCCAGTGGGGACCCAGGCTCTGCTCTGCCATGGGGGCCTGGGGACGTGGGCTTGGGGCTCTAACCACCTATCTACATGTTCACTTCTTAAGTACGTTTATCGGGCCAGCTGGTGGTGTGGTGGTTAAGGTGGCTGGACCTCACCTGACTGAACACACGGTTTGATTTTGAACCAATGGCTTGAGAAACATGCTAGGTGCATGTGTGTGCTAAAACTCCTGAAACGGGGCAAATGGAGGACGGCTCGTGGCGTAATCGTGACTCATGGAGGGGTGCTCTCTCACTGCCCCACACCCCATCTCTTCCCAGTAAGTGTGTATGCCCTCTACAAACATTGTTTTTAATAAAAAAAAAAAAAAGTTCACTTATTCCATGAATTAGAGACAGAGATAGAAAGACAGCATGCCTGACAGCCATGATGCTGTGACCCAGCCTCGGGCTCTCAGCCAGCCTGATCCTGGGGACACATGCGCCCAACATACGCAGGGAGGTCTCCGGCAGGGGGCCGCCAGCTTTACCAGATGGCTCTCCCCTGGGTCCCCCTTCTCAAGGTCAGCCTAGGGCAGGACACCCTCCCTGCCCACTCCCACTCAGTGCCAATAAAACTCAAATCCGATTGCATTATTCTCCTGCTTAAAACTTGTCCCTAGTTCCCCAACCTCTTCCTGAGATCCAAGAGGCCTTTCTCTGCCCGCTCTGCAGACCACGCCCTCTGTGTCCACCAGGCTCTCGCCACTGGCGGCCCCTCTGAGCTCCTAGAGGCACTGGGTTCCACTTATCTTGAAGCCTTGTTCAGGCTGTTCCCTTGGTAAGGGAAAAGAAGGTATTTTAAACTTGTAAATGACCACACGCGCCTCTGCTCAAAGCTCCCGATGGCTTCTCATAGACAGCAGGCCAGTTTCTGCATCTTGACTCCAACCCACACGGTCCGTCCGGCCTCCCTGTGGCAACTCCCTGCTGCTTGGACGGCTCTCACTCCACTGCAGACGCATGCACCCCATCCTGCTCCTCGAATACCCAAACTCAGCCCTTCCTCCCAGTCTCTGGTGGTCCCTCTCCCAGAATGCTCTTCTTTTTTGTCTACAGCATGTCTAATCAATCAGAACATGAATGGAAGCAGAGTACAGCAATCCTGGCCCCAAAGCAGACCAAACTAAGGTGTATTACAACGAAGGGTGCATTACTGAGGACGGAGGAGGAGGAATGGTTTTAAGATATATTAAACAATCTCTCTCCTTTTTAAAAATTTGCTAGAGGATACGTGTGCTTGCCGGAGGGAGGTGGAAGGCAGAGAGAGAGAGAGAAGGTAAGGAAGCACCCTCCACAGGGGATGGTCATGCTGCAACCCCTTCTCCAGTTCTCCTTTCAGGATTTTGGGCACGCATGTGCATGTGCCCAGGATGTTTCTCAAGTCGCTGCGTCTGGGACTTGAACCACAGAGTAGGCCATATGGGATCCAATCACCTTAACCACTAACCACTGGCTGTTCCATAATTTCTTTCAACCGGCCTGTGAATCCGATTATTCCACTATCTTACTATTTCTTTAGTCCATTCCCATGGCTCCTGTCCAATGACTTCATTTTTCGTTTTCACACCCAAGCTCATCGCTGGCCACCTGAGGACTGCCCCTTCCTCCTCTCCTCGTACTCAGCCTGCAACCCACGGCACACACATGCTTGGACACATTTTCACGATGTCCCCCGCATCGTCTCTGCTTCTAAGCCAATGGACACCTTGGTGGGTCTTCTCTGCTGTATTTGACTACTGTCAACCCAGATTCCAGTTCTCCTTTCAGGATTTTGGGCACGCATGTGCATGTGCCCAGGATGTTTCTCAAGTCGCTGCGTCTGGGACTTGAACCACAGAGTAGGCCATATGGGATCCAATCACCTTAACCACTAACCACTGGCTGTTCCATAATTTCTTTCAACCGGCCTGTGAATCCGATTATTCCACTATCTTACTATTTCTTTAGTCCATTCCCATGGCTCCTGTCCAATGACTTCATTTTTCGTTTTCACACCCAAGCTCATCGCTGGCCACCTGAGGACTGCCCCTTCCTCCTCTCCTCGTACTCAGCCTGCAACCCACGGCACACACATGCTTGGACACATTTTCACGATGTCCCCCGCATCGTCTCTGCTTCTAAGCCAATGGACACCTTGGTGGGTCTTCTCTGCTGTATTTGACTACTGTCAACCCAGATGTGCTGAGGCTTTCTGTTTATTTGACTTCCAGATCTCTCTCTCCAGTGTCTCCTGTCTCCCTGGCTGTTCCTTTTCAGTTTCCACTCTCTCTTGAAATGGGAGAGTTCTTCAAGGACATGCCATATCCTTCTTACCACACTGAAATCCCCTTTGGGAGATTTTTCCTTTCCTCTGACTTTTCACCTTTACGCTGCTGACTGGGTGGTGGAACCGTGTGCTCAGGCAACCAGACCCATGTGGAAAAGGTCCTAGGTTTGCGTTCTGGGACCTCCCTGCGTGTGTGGGTCTGCATACATCCATGTGACTCCTCTTTTGCCATTATTGTTCGTGCTTCAGCTCAGATGTTTTCACCTTTATGAGCTCTTCCTTGACCTATAAAAAGTAGCCCCTCTGGGACCAGCAGTTGGCATAAAGGCTATGTCACTGGACTCTCATGTAGTTGACCATGGTTCAAATCCCAGACTCCATGGCTTGAATTCACGCTGGGTGTGTGTGTGTGTGCCCAAGATTCCAAGAAGAGAATGGAGGAGAAGGGATTGTGACGTGGCCCTCATCCCAGGGGAGGATGTCTCTCTCTTTCTGTCTCTCTCTCTCTTTCTGGCGAGTGCACACGCCCTATAGCAAAAACCTCTCCAAAAAAGAAAAAAAAAGTAACCCCCTAAGACATTTCTTTTTTGTCTTTTTAAAGAATTATTTAGTAATTTTATTTATTCATTCATTTATTTTAATTTGACCAGAGAGAGAAAGTGAGAAAGTAAGAAAGCAAGCCACCAAGTCCAGGACTTGAACCGTGGTCAGCCAAGTGGGAGTGTCCAGTGCCTTAACCACCATGCCACCTGCTGGTCCCATCCTCTAAGATGTTTCATCCCCAGGTGGGATGGCCACGATGCAATCTCTTCTCCTCCATTCTCCTCTCAGGATCTGGGGCATGCACGCACACACACCTGGTGTGAGTTTAAGCCACTGAGTCCGGGACTCGAACTACGGTCAACTATGTAGGAGTCCAGCAACGTAGCCATTACGCCATCTGCTGGCCCCCCTCTAAGACATTTCTAACCCCTCATCTTATTTTATCTTCACAGTACTTGTCAGATGCACAAATAACTTAGGCTTTCCATTGTCTTCTAGGCCAGGCTGAGATGCCCCCAGAGGACAGGCCTTTTGTGGGGTTGTTCACTACTGTGTCCCCAGGGCCTAGAACAGGATGGGCGTGTCCACACAAGATGCTGGTTGCATCCCACTGACATCCACTTCCTCCCTACTTTTTCACTTTTATTCTAGAATTCAATCCTTTCTCACTTGACTCAGGGGAAGATGACTTCATCCCCAGTGCCAGGGGTGCAATGTAACTGTCTACACCCACCATGGCGGAGCCTGCCCTGACTGCAATTGGTTTAGGAGCAGGTCCCTGACGCCAATTGGTTTAGGAGCAGGGATGTGCTCTGGTTATGATCAACAACTGATACAAGGATCGGAGTCAAACCCCTTGTTCTGTCTCCCTCAGGACAAATTCTGAGGCGTTTTTCACAGTCCAGTGTTCGTTGGGGGATCAGGCTGGGGCTAGACTCCCCTAAAAACCATGTCTTTGTTGGGACCAGCAGATGGCATAGCACTTACCTCACTGGACTCCCACACGGCTGGTGACATTTAGAGCCCCAGACTTGGTGGCTTGAAACTCACACTGAGGGTGTGTGTGAGTTTGATCTTGTGTGCCCAAGATCCCAGGAGGAGAATACAGCAGAAAAGATTGTAGTGTGGCCATCTTCCCTGGGGGTGATTTCTCCCCTGGGGTTGATTTCTCACTTTCCCTCACTTTCTCTGTCTCACTTTCTCTCCATTGAGCACACACACCCTAAGGCAAAAATCTCTTTAAAAAAAATGTCTTTGCTAACTGCTTCCTCTAACTTATTTCCCCCTCCTCTCACCCCCTCATTTGGAGTGACTTCTCCTGAAAGGACTTCATCAATCCATTACCTGCACAAGAACCCCCAAATCAGATCTGCTTCTAGGACAGGACTCAACGGAGGCTGGACTTTGTTGAGCCCCTGAAGCCGCTGCTGCCCTCCTGCCTGAGAGGGAAACTGGCGTACACTGGAGACAGAGCCCCGAGGACCAAGCCCCAAATCTCCCGCCTCAGGTTTCTCGTCACAAGCGGAGTAACGCATTTCCCAGCATCTTTGGTACTTACAGCCAGAGACATTTTAAATTATACAAAACTAAAAAAAAAAAAAAAAAAGAATTCTTGGAGGTTGGCAGGTAGTATGGTCTCATGGTTTGAGTCCCGGACCTGGTGGTTTACTTTTTCACTTTCCCTCTCTCTTTTGCCAAATTTAATTTTGCCAAATTTAATAATAATAATAATAATAATACATTAAATTTAAAATTCTTTTATAAATAAATAAATAAATGCTGGGCAGCTAGGATAAGGTGGTTACATCTATTTAAATCTCCGAGCACACCCTTCAAAAACAGAAAAAGAAAGAAAAACAAAAAAAACAAACACTGCCAACATCCGCTCCTTTAACACAACTAGAATAAAGAGAAAGCCTACGCGTCACGTTCTCTTTAACAGACTATAAGCGCCAGTTCTCAGTGAGCTATTGCTTGCACTCCTGCCGCAAGACTTCAGAGAACACGGGCAGTCCTAGAAGCGGGTAGGGGGCAGAGGCAACCCTAAAACTGAGCTAAAGTCCTGCCGGAAAGAGAAAGGACACTCTA